CTTGCTGGCCATGTGACTGGGTAGGAGTGGCTTGCCAGCCATGTGACTGGGTAGGAGTGGCTTGGCCATGTGACCGGGGGGGAGTGGCTTTCTGGGCCTGTGACTGGGGGGGGATGGGCAACTTGTAAAATGTGGTGAAACTCACTTAATAACGTTCTTGCTTAGCAACCAAAATGTTGGCTCAGAAACTGGCATTTGAAGCATGCAAGTCTTAAAGCTGTCAAGTTACAAGACCCTTGCACCCCTAACCCTTTAGGAAAAAACCCCCAGGGGTGTTCAAACTCGACAGCTTTAAGACTTGTGGACTTCAACTCCCAGAATTCCTCCTCTCGCTCTTCATCTTGATGATGTGCGGGACGGGCAAGGGGAGGGAGCTGGAACCGGTTCTAAACGGCACTGTAGATTTGTGGAAACTCTTCTATAGGTTAGAACTGGCAGGAACCCACCCCTGGCTGGACTTAAACTTCCAGTACGCATTGCTAGTCGAACACATTATGGGCGTTGTGGTGCAACACATCCGGGTGCACCAGTTCCTGGAATATTAAACGGCGACATTCTTTTCCGGGAATCTACCTTTTTAGTATTGTAACTTTCGAGCGGACCATGCAGAGCAGAAGCAACGACTCTCACACACGCTTTTTAACTCTCCTCCCTTCAGCAGATCTTCCTCCCCTTCCCCCTCCAACCCTCGTCCAGTTAGTAGGCAGCCCTCTTTTCCCCTCGAGGCGGTCCCGCCTCCTTTCTCTCCCAAGCCCACCTCTTCCTCTAATCTTCTCTTCACCTCAGAGACACAAACCCCCCAATCAGGGAGGCCAGATGCCATCGCCACGGCAACTTCCCTAGACCAATCTTAAATGATCCCGCCCGCAACCTCCCCTTCCTCCAATCGAGAGGAGGTTGTTCAGAGCGCTGTCCAATGGGAAGCTGCAATTAGGCCCGTCCGGAGAACAGGGAAAACATTACCCAATCGCCACAGGACCTTTTGCTTTCCTTTGCCCAATGGAGAGCCACGCTGCTCTAGTTATTATGCCACAGGAGCCGAGTTAGGCCAAACCCGGCGGCTGCCGCCTGCTCTGTGGGTATCGCCCAGGCGGCGGTTGCTGCCTTGGCCTTTGTCCCCCTCAGGCTCTGCCTTCCTCCACCTCCTTTCCTCTCGGCTGTCTGCGCACAAGCCGGCGGATCCTACGGCAGCTACGAGTGACTCGCTGCGTGCCGCCACCACTGCCTCGCTTTCTACCCCGGGGTTCCTCCAGCACCACCGTTTCCCCCTTCCCGGGGGTTTCACTTCTGCCGGGGGAGGAGGAGGAGGGGGACTTAATACCGCCGCGGCCGGACTCGTCTCCTGCCCCCCCTCCCGATACTCCCCCAACACCATAGGCGGCTCAGGCACCAAGATGTCCAACCGAGCGCTCTGCCGGGAGGCCAGCCATGCCGGCAGCTGGTACACGGCCTCAGGTACGAGCTGGGTCACAAGCCTCCGTAGGTGGGTGTCGGGTGTCTGCGGGGTCCGCTTGAGGAGCCACGTTGAGAGAGCGTCGGGGGGTGTCTGTCGGGGGGATTTTGATGACTTTTAGCACTCAAAACTCTCCCTTTCGTCCAACGGAGAGCTGCTCCGCTGCTTAAAAAGCCAAAATAAGTGGGATATTAATGCTGAACGGTGGGCGAGAATGACGGTGAAACGGTGCCCGGAGGCATTGAATCCGTGCTCGTTCCCAAAGGTCACTTGCACCCACGGAAAGGCGGATCGGTAAAACTTATCGCGGCGGCGTTAGCTGTGAGCGATGCCTCGTCCTCCTCCCTTAAATTGCAGCCACCGGGGGGAGGGGGGAGGAAAAAAGTCGACTGTCAATTCACCAAAGTCCCTGTCCTAATAAGGCTGAAATCTCGGACGCCTTTGCTGGGGAGGAAATCCCATTGAATCATCCGGCAGGGCGCTGCCGAGCGGTGCTTTAAGCCGCCGTGAAATGAACTTTGGTGTGGGCGATCGCTATCAAGGGAGCAGCGGCCGAGGAAGGGTGAAGGAGACATGTTGCAAAATCGCCCGACGTTAAACCCTGCCAGGAAGCCGGGAGGGCGCCTGTTGCTTCGGGGTGGGTGGATGGGTGGGTATTGGAGCGATTAATCGCGGGAGCCGGCGTGGTTTAGTGCGGAAGAGGTGTCTTCCCCTCTCCCCCCCATGATCGCTGGGGCCCGGGTGGGCCTTTGACTGAATCAGCACTTTTCGCCGGGAATGCCGGGACCCTTGTCTAAATCCCTCCGCCCAGAATGAATCGTCCTCTGCCACCCCCGAACAATGAACTGCAGAGGATCGATTCCCAAGGAATTGACAGGCTGGAGGAAAATACGTTCTTCTCTAAGGCTGGCCCCGGAAATCTCCCCTACTTCTCTTTACCATACCCTCCCGTAGAGGAAGCGGACAGCGCCTTTCAGGGAAGGTGCCTAGGACAAAGAACCGACGAGGAATCCTCGGGGGTGGGGGTGGGTTCATGTAGAATCAGGGAACCGGCCAAGATCCCCGAAGCGTCTATGTGAATGAAAAGGGGTCATTTAGGGTAAAGCGAGGGAGGGGGCGAATTGCATTGTGGGAACGCAGGAGTTGTAATTCAGGACCAAGCTAGTAGGCATTTGTCTACTCGGGCTTCTTCCTTGCTATCCAGGGGGGAGGGGAACAATTTTGGGAAAAAATATTTTAAATACTGTTAAAATCCCGTGGAATTGAAGATGCCAGTGTATGAAGGATTTAAGGTTTTGAAAGGTTATTTTAAAATCTTTTTGTCGGTATATGCATTTTTGCAGTGAAATAGAGTGCTGTTAGGGGGTGCATTTAGATGTCACTTGATTTCCAGTATCGGGTAAAATAATCAGTTATCCATATTTCTCTTTCCCCCCATCTTTGTTTCTCATACAGTAGTTTCTTGAGAAAACGTGCACAAGACTGCCCTCTGCAGGATGTCAGATTCACATTGCCTACAATATGATTTCTTTTCTGTATGTGCTCATCAGTTATTTCACTTGGCCTAAAAAAGCTCTCTAGGGAAAGACAAAGCAGTGAAATCAACACATACTTACTTCATCTAGCTTGTGAATGTATATTCTCGTCTGAAAAACGTGATAGAGGGAATACATCATTTTTTACAAGCATATAAATAGTACATCTGGCTACTTGCTTAGAAATTTAAACTAAATCTTTCATGGCAGCAATTATAATTTAGTTTTATAGCATGCTTTGCTTCTTTTAGTTTAAAATCTTTGCAAAATAAAATAGTTTTATTATTTAGGTATCTGGGAAGATGTGATTAACTGTGTTCTGTATTACTTTTTAGACAAATATATCCCCCAAATAAAGCATATGTGATTATGGTTTCAGATATGTGAAAGGTAGACTTAAAATGCTGTCTCATACCATTTGAAGGCTTAGTTAAAACACAATAGGCTGCCTGCTAAGCAGAGTTGAAGAAGAGTTGGCTGCCAAAACATACCCTTGCTATATCTGGTACTGTATACAGATATGGTGCACTGGTATTGGTATTGTTAACAGTATTCTGTTCTGTGATCTGAGGCAGATGATTGGAAAAATTGAGGGCTTCTCCAATTATATAGGAGCAATACTTTTAGCTGGTATATAGCTGTCACTGCCCAACTTTTCTTAAATTAAACATTCTTTTTTTAAAAAAAAATCTGTGAATCCATTTCAGCAGGAGATTGTAGCTACCTTGCTGAGCTGACAGATTAATGTAGGAGATTGGGAAAGAGATTGATCAGGCCTCCAAGTGGACACAGTACAGAGATGAGTGACAATGCTGGCTTCAAGCCTGTGAATAACCCTGCAAGGTTGAAGGCCAGTTCCTGTACCACAGTAAACAAAGCCTGAACATCACACCACATATTACAATGGGAGCACTGAGCGTCAAAGGCTGAGACTGATTTAAGAGACCAACAGGTCTCTTGCCAACCCAAGATGGCAAGAGAAGGTAACAGAGGATGACTCCTTGAACCTCTTCCTCCCATGACAGCTGAGAAGGCACTGGGGAATACCTGTGAGAAATTAGGGAGGGTCTCTTCTGAACCTCTTGCCTTGCCCAATATCCAGCTGTGGGCAATGGTGTCTCTTATCTGATCATTCCCTAAGTAGGATTTTTTTGCCCTATCGCCCAAACTCTTTCCCAGGTACCACTGCAGACTCAGAGATTGTCTGAACCAGCCAAGAGTTGGTCAAACTTGCAGCAAAGCCCTTCTTTGGGAAGAAGCTATTAGAATAACCAATAAGTATTGATAATTGTTCTGTAGCCCAATAGAAGGAAGAAAGCAAATGCAAGAGATGTCCTGCATCTTCTTTTCACATCAAAGCTCAAATTTCCTTCTGTGTTCTGGGCAGAAGATATTTGAGTGATGTACCCTGTTGGATTCCCAGACTCAATAGCCAAAATGTTGCCAGGTTTAGTATACAACCAAGGTAGACATTTCTCAACTTGATTCCATTACTTTTTAAGTGGCCGTACAACTGCAGAAATTCAGCCACACTTACAACCTCTCCTACCAAAACAGGTAGATTGAGACTACCTATCCCAGAAGACATCTACATCGGGGTATTTTTTTACTATTCCCTTTACATTGCCAAAATACTGTCTTGACCTGTAAACTGTTGGCCTCTGAATAAATTTATCACACAATGAAGCTTTAAAATAGAGCAATTAACTTTCTAATTTTGATGGATTTGTCAGAAAGTTACCTAATATTCCAACTAGGACCCCTCCTCCCTTTCCTGCCCCCAAAGGCTCCTCAGATTTGTATGCAATCAACTTCACTTCACAGCTCTTTTTCAATCTGGCTTTGTCACTGAGGCTATTCATCAAAATGTGAAAATGGCTCCTCTGAGCCATTTAAGAACCAAGTGACTCCACATTTATGGTTACCTAGACAAGCTGCTCATCATAATGTCGTCTATGGCAAAAGCTCAGGTTGATGTGCTACTGTTTCATACTGCCTTGTATCAGTTTAGCTAAAAGTATGCAGGCACCATCTAGGTGGATTCTATATCTGCAGTTACAATTAACAAAGAGAGAAGGAAGGTTTTCTTGACTCAGGAATGCAGTGCCAAGAAAGAGAATTTACTATCTGGGTGGCTGAACCTTATAAAGCTCATAAGAGCATGATTATCACAGCATTGAATTTCAAGGACAAGCCAATAGTTCTACTTCTAGGTATTTAATATGTATTGAATCTCTAGGGACATGCTTCTGCCATCTCATTTCCCTACATGGGACTTGTCAATAATATATATGTTCTTAGTGACTCCCTCTGAACTAATTTTCTGTGAACTTTTTTTTTACCAGGAATCCAGGACTCTGATAGCCCAAGCCTTGGTTTGAAGGCTTAGGGAGATAGGAGTGTTCTTGGGAACCTGTGCACGGTATTTCTGGCCAGAACTTTGCTTCATTGTTTAGAACACTTCCAGATTTCACTGAGCCCAAAATGTGAATATGAATGGGGATATAATTTAAATGTAGAATAGACCAGTAAAGGAATGATTGTTTCCTACTAAAAATAAAATTGGGCAAATGAAAATTTGGGAAATTAACAGGTGAATTGGATAATACATAATTCTGGTGTTCACAGTCAACAAGAAAATGTTTTCTTTGTTCTTAGCACTTTCTGTACAGTTATGACTGTTGGCAGACTTAAAAGCAGGAGTAATGTTAATAAACATTTTAAGTAGCTTTGGAGTAGAATAATCTACCTCTAAAAGACATAAAATATACCATATATTCATCTCCTCAGACACAGATTCAGAACACCCATAATAACAACTGACCAACCTGTAAGTAATGCTGTAGTATATCTTAGATTCATCTTCAAGGACCAAGAAGACCAGCAGTATCTCATTTGCTAGAAGATTTTGATGATCCTACTCTAGTTAGAAATAGAAGTAGATTAAGAAAGTGGCCCCCAGTATCTAGGATGTGCATTACCTTTGTATACCATGCTATTATATATTCTTCTATTTCCATTTGTCCTACTGGTTACACATTTGTTATTACAATAAAATACACAATAAAAGAGAAGTTGAATCACTCAGCTGAAGTGAATATATATTCTTCTATTTCCATGTGTCCTACTGGTTACACATTTGTTATTACAATAAAATACACAATGAGAGAGAAGTTGAATCACTACAGTTTCTTCCATAGGCTAGGAAGAAACTTAAACTCTGTTTTCTAACTAGAAGAGATGGAGCCAGTCCTTTCTTACTGGATCTGTCTTCTGCTGACCTGAAAGGTACTTTACCATAAATCAGGCTACTATCCTAATGGCTGTGGAGTTAGATATCACTGCTTGTCTGAAGTCTAAATTTATAATGAAAACTATCTTTCTGAACATTATACTTTTTACATTTGCTGTAAATGGGAGGCCTCAGATTACATACCACCTATTGCCAATGTGAGCCTTGAAGGGGCTCAGAATTCCTTGGGCTTTTAATGTGAATCTTCTTTGTG